GGGAGGAACATGGGCCAGTCCTGGGGACTGAGGAAAGCTCAGACGAGGGCTCTGCGTCGGAGGCAGAGAGGGAACTAGACAGCAGTGAGGCAGAGGAACAGCTGGAGCCTGTTCCCAGTGTGCGCATGCGCAGAGCTGCCGGAAGACAAGAACAACTAAGGAAGCAGGGTAGACTTTGGAGGTTGGGGAGGAACATGGGCCAGTCCTGGGGACTGAGGAAAGCTCAGACGAGGGCTCTGCATTCGGAGGCAGAGAGGGAACTAGACAGCAGTGAGGCAGAGGAACAGCTGGAGCCTGTTCCCAGTGTGTGCATGTGCAGAACTGCCAGAAGACAAGAACAACTAAGAAAGCAGGGTCAACTTGGGAGTAAAGCCACACCTTGGAGGTGAATGGCCCCTCCCAGAGGGAATAAAAGAGGACAAAAGGGGAGTGGAGTTTGCAGGAGGCCATTAGTTTGCTTCATTGGTTTGTGACTCTCCGAGACTCCTGGCCAAATTCTGCAGAGATCGGCCTGGCAGCTCTCCAAGCCAGATAAGGTCTGTGACCATAAATCCTCCCTGGAAAGATTTTGCTGGATGTGAATGAGCAGAATTCACAGTCAATCAATAAGGGGTTTTTTTGGGGACAAGGAGTTTGCTTCCTTCTATCGGGAAGCCTCAGTCAGAGCACCTCAAATCTCTCAGATAAAAGTGGATACGCCACAGTTTGTTTTAAAGGGATGTAAGTTTGCATCTTCTTGTAAAGACATTGAAAGGCATTGAAAGTCAAAAATGTTTTGGCTTCCGTTTGATCGCAGCAATTTATTTATCAAAACAAAATCTCATACTCATTCAAAGCTTGCATTTTCGTTTGGCTCGTCACGGTTCACAATCCAGCTGGCATCCATTTACCGGAAGTGTCGGAGGTAAATCAGTTTCTGGGGATGAAATTTCTCTCTACATAGAGGACATTCGGTCTGTGGGAAGGGAAAAAAAATCAGTATTAGGAAATGTAAACATTGCTTTAAAAACCATCCCTGTCTAAGCTAGAAAAGAAAGATACAGAACCCAGACGTTACACTATAAAATGAGGAAGGGGTGGGGAAGAGGGGGAAAAACAGAAAAGAAAGCACTAAATATACAAATATATATTCAAAAATGAGATATAAAGGGGAAAAAGCATAGGATAGATTAATGAAGGTAAGGGAATAAGAAATGATATTAAACTATATTTGGGTTTGCGGAAATACCATCCCAAGAAAACACAAATTGAGATTTGAGAGAGACACCTATAACAACAGAAAAAGAAAGGGAGAGAGGAGGAGGGGACGAGAGGAAGAGAGGGAAGGGAGAAAGAGGAAAGGAGGAGAAGAGTGGAAGGGACGGAAAGAGAAGGAGAGAGGGTAGGAAGGGGAAGAGNTCTAGCTGTATTCCACAAGCTATGATTCCACCCTCACTTAATATGCTGAAAATCTTGTGTCTCTCTTAGATTTACCAGTCCTGGCTAGACAAATCTACTCCGTACACAACAATCCGATGGGTCGCAACATTGGGTTTAAGTTTTATCTACATGATTAGAGTTTATTTACTGCAGGTAAGGGGGGAAAAACCCTGCTGGTAATCAACACATTGCCAATTATTGGCAGCCTCTCGTTATCCCCATTATGTTTATTCTTTTATCTTAGCCAGTTAAAAGGTGTTTTTCAGCTTCAATCTTTGGGCCTTGGCCCCAGCCCCCCCAAAAAACTATTTAAAGCTGAGGAAAATTAGCCCCAAAATAGTCCACAAAGAATTTTCTTGGTTTATCTTGCTATGGAGAATTTACTGCCTCTGAAGGCTGGCTTGGAGTTGGGTTTGTAAATCACTCTCCTCCTTCGTAGGCCGTTTATCCTTAGCTGGCTTTGTTGGCTGGGGAATTCTGGGAATTGAAGTCCAGGCGTCTTCGAGTGGCCAAGGCTGAGAAACACTGCCCTGTGAGTTGTCCCAAAGATTTGGTCCCCCCCCCCCCAAAAAAAAGACAACTAGACTTTCGTCTTCTTTTTTCTTTAAAAACATGGAATGCATTTCGTTTCTCATCCAGGAAGCTTGGGTGAGAAGATAGAACTGAAGAAGCTTCTTGGATGAGAAGGGAAACCTCTTCAAAGGAAGAAAGAAAAACCAGTTGCTTTTGGGGAAAAAGCCCCTTTTGGGACCTGGATGATGGAGAATCTCCATAGACATTTTCCCTCTTGGTTCTTCTGTTATCTCCGGCTATTTGTTCTGGCCCAAACACAACCAACCCTCCATAGTTAAATCGAAGATTCAGCCCCGGCGAAACGTTTTCTCTCTCACCGCAGGCTAACAAGTCTGCCCGGCAGGGAGACGAATAGTTGTCTGCCACATCTATTCATCTCTGCCCCCTGCCTTTGATCCCCAGAGTTAGGGTGGGGCTTTGCTAGCAGCAGTGGCTCTTCCGTCCCGAGGACCGGCTCATAGATTTCCATTGTTCTCCTCTCCTCTGCCTCCTGAGCATCCACGCGTCAGGCACTGGCCCCAGCTGTTCCTCCTCTTCCTCATCAGCCACCTCCAGACCTGGGGGCTGTTGACCCTCCATTGGAGGGCTGACCGACAGCCTACGCTCTGTCTCTGCCTCTCTCTCTACCAGCTCCCTCCCCTCTTCCCCCTCGGAGCTCTCAGGTTGCCTTGAGGCTGACCCTGACTTCCACCAATCCTTCTCTGATTCAGCCGCTGAATGGACCTGCGGCTGACAAGACGCAACACTATTACCCATTATCCTTCTCTCCTGGTTCATGGGCTCCCTACATTTTGGAGTATGGCTCCTGCAATCCCTTTTTATCAACCATGCTGCTTGTAGGCCCTCTCCTGACTTCTAATTAACCCCTTGTGCATTGCTAACGATGGATTTTTTAATTTTTTTCCCCCTTAAACTTAAATTTCCCTCTGACCTCCTGGTTCTTGAATCTCTCTTCTCGTCCTCAGGGTTGGTATATCGTGACGTACGCCTTGGGTATCTACCACCTAAACCTGTTCATAGCTTTCTTGTCGCCAAAGGTTGATCCCTCCCTCATGGAAGATTCAGGTATATAAAAGATGGAATTTGGGTCAAGATGCTTGCGTTTTTCTACCACGGAGGCCGTTGGTTTTTATGGATGGGTTGGATAAAAATTAGAAATCTTGCTCGTACCTTGACTGGGTGGTTTGGGTACTCGCCTCGTCCAAGGTGATTTTTTTTCTTTGGCATTGTGTTTAAGTTCAAGGTTCATTTTATTTATATGCCGCCCTATTCCCGGCGGGACTCAGGGCGGCGCACAAACCCAAAGGAAGGGAAGGGAAACACAAGAACTACAGCAAAAAGTACAGGGAATTTAAAACGACCAGTC